CCCCCCCCCCCCAACCCCATATCTGGAAAATTCATAACCCCCAAATCTGAAAAACTCAGCCCTAGAAAACTCAGACCCCTCAAACCTTCTCCATTTAATAGGGTGAAATGTTATAGACTGTATTTGTACAATGTGAATTCTTATATCATCGTAAGATAACAATCACCCTGTATCCTAACCTTTCATGATACCTTTCAATTTTTAAATTTTTTTTTTCAAATTTAATTCCAGTAGCCGTAATGGAAACTCACAGACAAAACTTCTGAGTTCTTGCGATATTTTAATCTCATGACAACCTCACATCTCTCAGCTGCAACCTCCTTTCCAGAAGAAAAGGTTTTTTTCAGCAGTTCTGCTTTGGCAATCAAATCGCCCTCCAAGTTCATTTTATCAAAGATAAACACAGCTTTCCTTAATTTTGTCAGTTCAACATCAATTACAGCATAGATTCTTTATATCTATGTCTATAGGAGTTTCGTTGAATTATATGGTTTAGAATAACCCTAAATACCTCCCGGGGAAGATCGAGGGTAAATTCTCCTTTCCATGGTGTTGCCTTAGAAGGTGTGGTACGAAGCCTTCGGACTATTTTCTCATGGATCTTCTTCAATGCATTTATGACTATTGACTGTGTACCAACTAGCTGTTGTACCTCTCTGTTCCTTGACTGATCACGATATTTTTCCTCCAAAAGTCCCACTGCGGCTTCCACCTCATTAAAGAATTTACTAATAGAACTCATAATTGCAGGATTGGAGATAGACAGTCGTGAACATTTCTCTGTAGAAATCTGTGAATTCCCCTCAAAGGAGGATTCAGTCCTACAAATACAGTTTCCGCCATCTTTAATTTTACCCGAATGACATTTGATTTTCCTGCCGCTCATGATCGTTTTTGGGGGTGGGTTGGCCCCAGCATGATTGATCTTATGGCAAGAGTAGATTTCTTACAAATTTCATTGATGTGGCTACTAGATGACAAATTATTATCCATAATAACACCTAGATTCCTTGCTTTCTTTGTGATGTTAATTTCAGTCCCTGCAAATGTGATGCTGTCACCAAAGTATGGTTGCTTCATAAAACGCGATGTAAAATGCAGCACCTCGGTCTTTCCAGGATTGCTTTTAAGCATGTTTCTGGTGTGACTTTTTTGTCAATAATTGTGTTTAAAAGGGTTATGGGTTGGATCTCGGGATGGAGCCTCCCTGTGCAAAACTTTGTCGGGAACACTTCTGAGACTTCAATCTGCTGAATTCTTAAGGATGCCTTGCTCCTACACTACAGAACAATGGTCCCTGGTGTGTGATCTTTTGTGTTGTAATATGGTGGGCTGAAGTTACTAACAGCCTCCTTTTTGTTTGAAAATTATTTTGTAGGTTTTATGGTTCAAACTGAAAGCGGCCCTATGAGGTGCAGAGCAATGCTGCAGATGATCTACGTTCAAGGGCTCTTACACATAACACTGCTGATCTTAATAAGTTGAAAGAACATTTTGCTCTCAGCCAGGTAAATATTGTTACAATGGTATAGTCCATCTGCTTCTTCTCAGATAGCTTCAGGGCTAGTTCAGTGACAAATTGTTCAGCTTCTATGCTGTTTCCGTCATATGGTCAGAACGTGAGAGGGCTGAATATAATGTCTGATATGAACTACTGGGCAAAGTGCTGGATCCTGAGTAAAAGCCAGGATTTCAACTGGGTCAAGGTGTTTTCCGGGACGGGTCATCGTAAAAAATTTTTTCTAATCGAGGTCACATTCATAATAGCACAGACTGGAGAATCAAGTATAAATGTCAAAATGCATTTTTGCACTCATTATTTTTTGTCCTGAAATGTGTTTTTTTTTGACAAAATAATGCCCAAAATGAAGTTCCTTGTTTTTAGATGAGAAGGGAGAAATATTAGGAGATATAGAAATGGTACATTTTAGTTTGTACCGGGTGAAAACACAAAGACGCTTACACTTAACACCTGAAATTGTCCTTTATTTTACATCACTTGGAACAGAAACCTTAATGAGTAATAAACAGGTCCCTTTACAAATGAAGGAATGTAAGTCTTCTGAACTGCTTTGTTAAGATTACATGATTTGTACACTCTTAACTTTTTCACAATAAATAAGACTCAATGGAATAGTCTTTAGGCAAATCTTTTTTTTAGAATATTTTGATATTCAAAAATACTTTGTCTTTCTACAAATATGTATAAATTTATGAAATCCATCAACTCATCAAACCAGAAATTCGTAGAATGCTACAAAACCATATAAGCTAAGTCATAGATTTATGAAATCCCTCAGCTCTACAAACATTTCATAAATTTATGAATTATTACAACTTTCAAAAAAGGTCATCAATTTATGAAATCCTTCAGCTATTGAAAAACGGTTCATAAATTGATAATATGTTACATCTCTCAAACAGCTCATTAGTTTACGAAACACAACCTGGTCTACAAACAGCTCATAAATTTATGAAATTCAACTTGGTCTACAAACAGTTCATATAATTTTATGAAATAAAAGTGGTTTGCAAACAGCTCATAAATTTATGAAATTCAACTTGGTCTACAAACAGCTCATAAATTTATGAAATTCAACTTGGTCTACAAACAGTTCATATAAATTTATGAAATAAAAGTGGTTTACAAACAGCTTATAAATTTATGAAATACAACTTGGTCTACAAACAGCTCATAAATTTATGAAATAAAATTGGTCTACAAACAGCTCATAAATTTATGAAATACAACTTGGTCTACAAACAGTTCATAAATTTATGAAATTCAACTTGGTTTACAAACAGCTCATAAATTTATGAAATAAAATTGATCTACAAACGGCTCAAAATTTGTGAAATTCAAGTTGATCTACAAAAAGGTCATAAATTTATGAAATACAACTTGGTACGCAAACAGCTCATAAATTTATGACATCAAACTTGGTCTACAAACAGCACATAAATTTATGAAATTCAACTTGGTCGACAAAAAGCTCATAAATTTATGAAATACAACTTATATAAAATCCTTCAAAAGAAGAAAGGTCAAGAAAGAGATACTACTATAATTTATGAAATATTGCGTCAAACAGAGTCTCTTTTATGAAATTCGTTTGCCTTAAGACAAAGTCATAAAATTAACATACTCCAGTTGGCTCAAAACTTGTGTCTGAAGCAATATATCAGCGACTTATTTATAGTTAAGAAAATTTACAAATCTATCTATTATCTGCAGGCGTTAAATTAAGTTGGGTGGCATACGCAATTTGATAGCTAGCCTGTGCCCCTGACATGAAAAAGTTGGAAAATGATTTAAAAGATATGCGCCTCGAGACAAAGCAAACAAAAGTGGGAAAGGCTTGTATAATCGTCTTATTTTCCAGCGACATTTTCTTCAACTTCGTTGCCACTGCCACCGTCACTGTCAACAAGGGTGTCGTTTCTTTGCCGGTGGCGGTCGAGGTTTTTTACGACGGAGTTGGATGTAACTCTTAAATCTTCTTTCTCTTGTACACAGACGACATTTCTTTCATTGGAAAGGCCTTCGGTAATTCCTGCACCTAACAATCATAATCAGATATATCAACCTTAGAGATGTACCACAATACTCAGAGCAAAAATAAATTAAACACAGTAAACGGCAGCAAAAAGGTCGCTTCTAAAATGCATTGGCGTTCTTTGAAACTCAATCTCGGTTATTCCAGCTCGTTCAATATTTTATAACAGTCAAAATTTCTTCGAGTTATATGTTTAGAGAGGGGGCAGTATTCGACTTCAGTAAGAAAAACAAAAACCTTGTTTGCTTATGCTCTTCAGTTCGTTACATGTACGTAAATTTACCATATTTCAAGCCGTAGTCATCAGTCGTAGTCAAGCAACCTCTACAACGGTGAAAA